CCCCCCCATATTACAAATCAGATACCAACTTAGGTGCCCATCCCACCAGGGGCTCCTTCCATCTGCAATTGGGATCGGCAATCATCCTCATCCCAGAACACGATGGCAAGATATACTAATCAGTTTTGTCTACTCTTTTCTGTATTTATGCATACCTCATTTCCTTCGTCTAAACCATGTTCAACATCATAAATATATACACAGACAGTAGAACATGATCTTCACAAAGATAAAGGTGACACAAATGGATACAGCATAACACAGGCTTTTCAACAAGACCACGCACATGTCGTATCAGTACAACAAACACAAAAAAGTCTGTGTGACACCCCACAACCCCCTCCCCTACCCTTCCACCCCCAAGATTTGGTGGGGTTTGTGACATTTCTCTTTTAAAGCCTCAGCTAGTAATGGAAGAACAGCAAATGCCACTGCATTTATATATGGAGAGTATTTATTCATCACTGCCAGTGCTGCGGGCCATAACTCATAAAGCAACGTGTACCAAACTCACACAAAGTTGCGCCTTCTGCCCGTCTTTGACATTCAAGGTGTTACTGTTTATGACCCCTGGGTCTGATCTGGTGATGAGCTAAGCAATTACTAAACCCAAGTGGAGCTCAGCATTGGGAGCAAAAAGCAGCTTTACTCCTCTGCATAATTGGCCTTGGTAGCTAAAGTTATTTTAAAGCACAGAGCAAGATCTTTTGCTCCCCTTTTATCCATGATATATAATAGGGGTCTAAAGTATAAGTATATAAAATCCTGCCAGAAAGGGCAGCGTCTGCTGGAAACACTGTGGAGTTTACAGCTGTCCTCAAGCTGAGAGAGAGAAAGGATTATTTTAAGGAACAATATTGAAAACCATAGAAATCCTAGGTGTGCGGGTAGCAGAGTCCCCTCCATAACATGGAATTCCCTCTCCAATTTTCCTGAGGGTCTATGCTCCAGCAAGCTCTTTTCTCCAAGGACAGAGCAGCACCCCTTCTGAAAAGTGCTAGAGTACTGTGACATGGTAATTCTGGGCAGCTTTCTCAGCTCTTACCCTGTGGGTTGTCCGCACGTTAACACCATAAAGTTATTTAAAGCACTCATTATGCAGCTCAAAGTTATGCTACTCCAGGGTAGGATTATCTCCGATCTGCACTACCAGGTCCTGTTCCATTAACGTACGGCCACTCCCACGGACGTGCTGCTCAAACTGAAGGTCTGACCACTCCAAACTCCAAGTTAGCCCTAAGCCAGTTAGCTTTTGTGCGGCTCACGGCGCGAGTTGCAACAAGGCCCCTGGAAGGCACTGAGAAGTTACAGCTGCTTGCTACAGCTGTAACACATGTGGACTTCCCTTAGACATTTGCCACATAAAGACACTTTCAGCCACTATGAACATTTTATCAGCTTAAGCTCATATCTGAAGAAGTGATGAGAATTGTCAAATCCCAAGGATTTCAACAGGATTTGGGGGTCCTCAGCAGCTCTCAGGATACGGTCGTGGGAACCGTTTACTTCACTCCCAGTATATTTTAATCATTTTCTCAGTATGTGGAAACCAATTGTTTAAGAAAACACTTTGCATTTCATAGAGGCAAACCTTTGAACAGCAATTTGTTTGTTGGCATGCTCCGATTAGGCTCAGGTGAATGACAGGAGCTAACAGTGCGTGTGGGGCACAACGGGGCTTGGACGCTACATTGTCATCACAAGTGGTGTAACAGGCTCAGCACTGTGCTCTTCCTGGGAACCATGAGAAGGGATTCTCGAGTGTCAGACTGTGCATTTAAAGCCCAATTATTCCTTCTAGGCATGGCCTAACAGACAGGGTAGAGCTGCACCGTGTCTGGGGGTGTGCTAGGAGGCATTGAGCCTCAGAGAAAATGAATGCCTCGGAGCTCATGAATACACGTAGGCTGCATGCTTGCTGCCCAATACTCTTCTCCGCTCTGCTGGTCAGCACAGAGGTATTTGGCTCTGTTTCTTTGCTTATAATTGCGCCCCTGCCCCATTAATAATTTTTACATGTTTTTGCTTTGCTCCTTTCCTTCTGTCAGTATATTTCAAGACATGTTTCACAGAAGAATACAGGTTTCCCTTGCTTTATGCTACACGTGTGCCTGGAAAAT